CCAGTAGCATTAAAACCTGTGCTAGACAAAGTTGTAAATATGGTAAACTTAATAAAATCGAGACCTTTGAAAATACGCGTCTCTATGGAAGCCAAGTACGAATCTTTGCTTTTGCATTCTGAAGTGGGATGGTTATCCAGAGGAAAAGTGTTACGTCGTGTCTTAGAACTGAAGGATGAATTGATGACCTTTTTCCAAAATGAAAATATGGATGATTTTGTGGAATATCTTCAAAATGACATTTGGTGTGCTAAATTGGCATATTTAACTGATATTTTTGATTATTTAAATTGTGTTAATACCAGCCTTCAAGGAAGAAAAGAAATTTTTTTAACATCGACCGACAAATTGACAGCCTTTCGGAAAAAAGTTATTTTTTGGAAAAATCGTTTGTTGGAGAAAAAGAAAGTAGATATCTTTCCTTCTCTTAATGATAACACTACCGACGAAATTATTTCAGCAGTAACAGAGCATTTAACTTTATTAGAAGAAAATATTGAATTTTATTTTCCATCAATAAACGTAGAAACATCTGACTGGATACGTAATCCCTTTGCCACGGTTGATACATCAAATAGTAAGTTGTCATACCAAGAAGAAGAAGAATTAATCAACCTATCATCGGATCGTACACTTAAAATAAAATTTTCCGAAATGTTTCTAGAGGAATTTTGGATCTTTGTGCAAGAAAAATACTCAGCTCTCTCCATGAAGGCACTTAAAATCTTGTTGCAATTTTCAACATCATAATTTGTGTTAACTCGGTGTCTCGATAGTCACCAACATAAAAACTAAAAAACGAGCAACACTTACTAATTTGGATGAAGTATTGAGGGTAGCTATTTCTAAAATTAGGCCTTACATCACTGAAATTTGTAAAAACTGTCAAGCTCAGGTTTCACATTAAATCTTTTTATTTTTCTGAATTCAATTTTGAACAATGTTATTATGTTACTTATTAAATTTATGTTTATTAAAAAAAATTTTGTCATGTTATAATTGTAAACTCTTATGTTATAATGTTTTATTTTCAATAAAAGTCGTACGTATGTGTATTTGTTTGTTTTTTTTACTCCTTGATTTTGGTGCTCCCACAATTTTTGTCATGACGAAAAGTGCTCCCCGACTTCAAAAGGTTAAGAACCACTGTATTAGACTGTGTGACACCCATTGCTGCGTGATAGTTTAATGTTGTCTTTCTGAAATGGTTGTGAAATAAATCTGCGGTGTTAAAAGTTGGGGGGGGGGGAGGGGGGGGTCATTAAAATATTATTATAGTTCAGGGGCATGGAAACAAAATGTCAGGCTGCGAGACTTGAGTTGGGGGTGGGGGGAGGTGGCGCCACTAAGTGGGATTCTTATAAACTTTGTCACTTGTAGGGATTTTGGTCAAATTTTGAGCCCCGACCGCCCCATTGCTTGGTATTACATTTAAGAAAGGGTTTATAACGCACAAATGTGTTCTTAGGGTTTTGTTTAATTACGATCATAAAGAGAGGAAATGTGTAGATTGTACAGCGACTTAATGATGCTGATAACTTTTTTTTACAAAACAATAAATATATTTTCATTGAACACATTGGAACATCATTGCATGCCATAGAAAGGGAAATCTTTACTTTTCTCAATTTAACCATTACGTCACATCGAGAAAAGAGATGAACATTTTGATTTTTTTTTTAACCTTGACCTCGCAACCGCGGGCAGTATATTAATTTAAACTCGTTGCCGCCATGTGGTAGGTGGTGTTATCGTAACCAGTTTCAGCCACGCTTCACATGGGATTCACATGAACATTTCTGTAAACCAGTGGCATCCCATCTATACGTGGTGGTGTTATTGCAACCAGTTTCAGCAATGCTTCACATCAGATTCACGTGAATATTTATGTAACCAGTTGAAGTTATACTCAGCATGCAAATATATGGAAAATATTATAACAACCTTGCTGGCGTGAAGCAATTTTTTTGGTCAATAAACTTAACGTGATATCTTTACTAAATGTTCCGTTTGTCTTTTTCTTTTTTTCCCCTCATTTTTTTTTAAATATAAATTTTATTTTGTTATACGGTTCTTCAAGTGTTTGGAAGTAGCATGTGTTGGTCGAACACAGATGGAAGTAGCATGGGTTGGTCGAACACATAGATAGAAGTAGCATGGGTTGGTCGAACACATAGATGGAAGTAGAATGGGTTGGTCGGACACATAATTGAAAGTAGCATGGGTTGGTCGGACACATAGATGGAAGTAGCATGGGTTGGTCGAACACATAGATGGAAGTAGCATGGGTTGGTCGAACACATAGATGGAAGTAGCATGGGTTTGTCGAACACATAGATGGAAGTAGAATGGGTTGGTCGAACACATAGATGGAAGTAGCATGGGTTGGTCGGACACATAGATGGAAGTAGCATGGGTTGGTCGGACACATAATTGAAAGTTGCATGGGTTGGTCGAACACATAGATGGAAGTAGCATGGGTTTGTCGATCACATAGATGGAAGTATAATGGGTTTGTCGAACACATAGATGGAAGTAGAATGGGTTGGTCGGACACATAGATGGAAGTAGCATGGGTTGATCGAACACATAGATGGAAGTAGCATGGCTTGGTCGGACACATAATTGGAAGTAGCATGGGTTGGTTTAACACATAGATGGAAGTAGAATGGGTTGGTCGAACACATAGATGGAAGTAGCATGGGTTAGTTGGACACATAATTGGAAGTAGCATGGAGTCATTAAAATATTATTATAGTTCAGGGGCATGGAAACAAAATGTCAGGCTGCGAGACTTGAGTTGGGGGTGGGGGGAGGTGGCGCCACTAAGTGGGATTCTTATAAACTTTGTCACTTGTATGGATTTTTGTCAAATTTTGAGCCCCGACCGCCCCATTGCTTGGTATTACATTTAAGAAAGGGTTTATAACGCACAAATGTGTTCTTAGGGTTTTGTTTAATTACGATCATAAAGAGAGGAAATGTGTAGATTGTACAGCGACTTAATGATGCTGATAACTTTTTTTTACAAAACAATAAATATATTTTCATTGAACACATTGGAACATCATTGCATGCCATAGAAAGGGAAATCTTTACTTTTCTCAATTTAACCATTACGTCACATCGAGAAAAGAGATGAACATTTTGATTTTTTTTTTAACCTTGACCTCGCAACCGCGGGCAGTATATTAATTTAAACTCGTTGCCGCCATGTGGTAGGTGGTGTTATCGTAACCAGTTTCAGCCACGCTTCACATGGGATTCACATGAACATTTCTGTAAACCAGTGGCATCCCATCTATACGTGGTGGTGTTATTGCAACCAGTTTCAGCAATGCTTCACATCAGATTCACGTGAATATTTATGTAACCAGTTGAAGTTATACTCAGCATGCAAATATATGGAAAATATTATAACAACCTTGCTGGCGTGAAGCAATTTTTTTGGTCAATAAACTTAACGTGATATCTTTACTAAATGTTCCGTTTGTCTTTTTCTTTTTTTCCCCTCATTTTTTTTTAAATATAAATTTTATTTTGTTATACGGTTCTTCAAGTGTTTGGAAGTAGCATGTGTTGGTCGAACACAGATGGAAGTAGCATGGGTTGGTCGAACACATAGATAGAAGTAGCATGGGTTGGTCGAACACATAGATGGAAGTAGCATGGGTTGGTCGGACACATAGATGGAAGTAGCATGGGTTGGTCGGACACATAATTGAAAGTAGCATGGGTTGATCGAACACATAGATGGAAGTAGCATGGGTTTGTCGAACACATAGATGGAAGTAGCATGGGTTGGTCGGTCACATAGATGTAAGTAGCATGGGTTGGTCGGACACATAGATGGAAGTAGCATGGGTTGGTCGGACACATAATTGAAAGTAGCATGGGTTGGTCGAACACATAGATGGAAGTAGCATGGGTTTGTCGAACACATAGATGGAAGTAGAATGGGTTGGTCGGACACATAGATGGAAGTAGCATGGGTTGGTCGAACACATAGATGGAAGTAGCATGGGTTGTCGAACACATAGATGGAAGTAGCATGGGTTTGTCGAACACATAGATGGAAGTAGAATGGGTTGGTCGGACACATAGATGGAAGTAGCATGGGTTGGTCGAACACATAGATGGAAGTAGCATGGGTTGGTCGGACACATAGATGGAAGTAGAATGGGTTGGTCGAACACATAGATGGAAGTAGCATGGGTTGGTCGGACACATAATTAGAAGTAGCATGGGTTGGTCGGACACATAATTGGAAGTAGCATGGGTTGGTCGAACACATAGATGGAAGTAGAATGGGTTGGTTGAACACATAGATGGAAGTAGCATGGGTTGGTCGAACACATAGATATAAGTTGCATGGGTTGGTCGGACACATAATTGGAAGTAGGATGGGTTGGTCGAACACATAGATGGAAGTAGCATGGGTTTGTCGAACACATAGATGGAAGTAGAATGGGTTGGTCGGACACATATATGGAAGTATCATGGGTTGGTCGAACACATAGTCGCCATCACTTAAACCAGTGGTTCTCAACCTTCCTAATGCCGCGACCCTTTAATACACTTTTTCGTGTCGCAGCGACCCCCAGCCACACAATTATTTTCGTTGCTACTTCATAACTGTAAGGATAAGTGTTTTCAGATGATCTTAGGCGACCCCCAAAGGGTTCGCGACCTACAGGTTGAGAACCGCTGACTTAAACCCTCGCTCTTATACTGGCAACGGTTCTGATACCGCCTCCCTTGTACCTCGCACCTGGCAGCTGAGACCACAGCGGAATGATCTAATAATATATCTCAGGCTTACAAATCCTCCATGCACCGCCCGGCGCAGCTATCAAACCTGGGGTTGAGGCTAAGTGTGACAGGCAAACACATAAGGCATTATGGCCAGCACTTCCACGTGACAGGCCCTACCGCTCCCCCCCACCTCCTTTTTTTGGGATACCTATCCCCCCCCTTTTCCACCCACATTATCACATGTACCTGACACCGCGCATCTGTCATGAAACAACTCTTCAAGTTGATAACGGCTCACAAGTGGATGGTTGTATCCTTTTGACTCCCCCACTAAGGCGTCGCTCATAAAAACCGGTGATGTCCGTCGGTTCACCGCGCTGAACAGACGAGCTGTTCAACTCATACATGTCAGACCAATCGAAACATTACCAGCCAACACTTCGCAGATTCACGAGGTTCGTTGTACCTGGCTTTTAGTACATGCCCACCACCGCATGCCGAGCAGTTGCGCACAAACACATGTTGTTGTTGGTGGTTGTTTTTTTTTTTTGAAAGGATTCAACACTATTCAAGCATCACTTATATCATTCACATTGTCAATCGTGCTGTGATTATATAATGTATCCTGCTTGTTCTAACACTGGAAGACGTGTATGTGCTGTTTAAAATTCTAGAGGATATTAAATAATATTGGAGATACGCCATTGTTTACTATTACCTGAGCAAGCTTATTAGGAGGATAACAATAGGTACACCATCATCCAGACGTTCAGTGAATTAACTTTAGATTTCAAATTTTTTACAGCTTTCAATATGAAAATTGTGAAAACTGTTCATTTCAGGTGCTTAACGAGCAACAAGTCTGAGCAAATCATTACAACCGGTCACGCATTTAAAACTAGATCAAAAGCCAGGTGCGTCCGACCTGTTCGTTTTGTGTGACCGGTGAGGTCACTAACCGTGATGTGTATACATTGCGCTATCGTGCAGCTAGCAAATAAACAAGCTGAAGGGAGATTATAAACGAGACACAAACAAAACGAAACTGAATGCATTGTTGTTGTTAAGCGGCCGGTGACAACAAAGTCACGTGCTTGTGTTACTAAAGATAGCCCCCACGGGATCCACCACGAGTAAACATGGATTCGTTTGTTTACACGCCCACTGCCGGCGGGGAAGAGAAGAGAAACTTCGTGGCCATCGATGAGTACCGGGAGAGTTCGGGAGATGGCTCACCCCTGGTGACAGCCTCCTCGGCGGGTGACTGCCCCTGCTCACGCGGGCACGCTAGGACACGCTCGGTGCTGTGCCGCCCCGTGTGCATCTCCGGGGTGGTGTGCTGTGCCGTCGCCGTCGTGGCGTGCGTCGTCGTCGTCGTCGTCGTCGTGTTGTTGACACACTCCTCCCTGAGGGAGTGGGAGGAGAGGATGGAGGCGAGGATAGAGCGGAAGATTATGTCTATCGTTGAGGAGAAGTGTGACTTCGACATGACGGAGATGCGAAAGGTATTTTGTTCTCTTTTTTTTTTTTTTCTCTTTTCTATTATATATGTTTTCTTTATTTACTTGAAAGAACCAGTTCAGATAGTTCTTACAAGACTATGTTCCTGGACTATCGTAAACATGTTGTTTTTAGTAAACAGCTGCGCCAGAGTAGGGTCGTCTTATTCAAAGGTCTGTACCTTGTCAGGACTAATGACCTGGTTTTCAGGTAACGACTTAACGCGGGGAAAGCATAACTGTTATAATCCAATGGATTTATTATCACTGGTGGTTAATTCTCACTCGTCAATTGTGATAACTTTATCTACGGGAGACTATCATTAAAATTTAACTCTGATAAGCTGGTACATGTGCCCTCCCCTTACAATAGTACGTGATCGTTATTTAAAAAAAAATAATTTCAAGTTTTAGAATTTCGGTGCACTCAATCAGTAATGGTAATACTCAAAATGCAACAATTTTTTTATTCTTGATGACAATGTAACTGATGTTCCCTTGCTCTAAAATGTTTTGTGTGTAAGATGTTAGGTAAATCTGTTTGAATGTGTTGATATATTTTTTTTTCGAATGTGCTCAGATGACAATTATAAACTATCGGTGTATGTATAGGACACCATAATTTTTAAGGCCTCAAGCTTAGTGGCAAACGTTTGGGAGGTTGCCCCTAGTTGCGTTTAGTCAAGGTACGCAAAGTGTGACAAGTCTTGTGTGTTGAGCATTTGAGGTGGGGGTAGAGAAAGTCTATTTAATCTGATCGAATCAACTTAAGACAAACAGTGGGCCCTTCGAGTCTAAGCTCATGCCCATCCCCGCACTTTCCCCCAAACGGGAAGCAACAATCGGGCCTCGAAGTTGTCCGACGGGAGTGCTCTGCCGCTGAGACAGCCCCCGCGCCCACAGTTCACTCGATTTACAATAGCCAAGCGCGGTTGGGGGGGGGGAACAATCGCAACCAAGGAGCATCCGGTCGGTTGGTGTTGCTGCCCCTAGAACACCAGCAATCTTTGAGCTTCCTAATACTGGGGGGGGGGGGGTTGGGGGTTAAATAAAAAATCCACCCCTTAATCATCCCGGGATGGCGTCAGACGCCCTCTAATAGGGTTTCGACATTGATTTCTACCCCGCGAATAGCTCCCAAAGTAGCTGGGACGAAACGGTTGCCTAGCCTAGAAACCGTACCTTCGCAGCCCGCATATTAGCATAAAAAACATGGGCTGCCACCACACAACCATTCTATCCATCACATGTCTCACTTGAAATTAATGTTTACTAAATGCCCTCTTCATTTTTGTCCAAACTCATTGAACAGCCTTGTGCTTGGGGAATATTTGTTTGAGTAAAGAGAACCTATACTGATTGTAATCCGTGCATATTCCTTCTATCTTTTAATATTAAATAAATGGGTGGGTGTGGGTCAAAGGTTGCATGGTAGACCATGTGGCTCGGGTATCATTTAAAGCGGGTTTAAAACTGCATGTGGACCTTTTCATTAATGAAACCACACTGTCGAATGCATGCTTAGAACTGGACAGTATTAATGTATAGAATTCTCTAGTCTTGAAAGAATGTAGGGAGCAATGGTAAATTACTTAATGCGCAAAATAAAATTCCCCATAACTGCACTAAATGAGATTCCTCAAAATACAGCAAGTGCGTTTGGTGCGTAATATTCTGTTTTGTTTTACGGAAATATTCTAAATTTAAATACTATGTAATAAATCTTCAGTGTAAAAGTGGGTGGGAAATTAGAATATTATTTCAGTTCAGGGGCGTGAAATAGTTTGCTGTGGTGGGGGGGGGGGTGGCACTTATTGGGTTTCTTTTAAAAGTGCGTTCCTTGAATGCTTGTTTTTTCTGGTAATTTTTGTTAAAGGAAGTTCACGATTCTGTTTTGTTTTACGGAAATATTTTAAATTTAAATAATATGTAATAAATCTTCAGTGTAAAAGTGGGTGGGAAATTAGAATATTATTTCAGTTCAGGGGCGTGAAATAGTTTGCTGTGGTGGGGGGGGGGGTAGCACTTATTGGGATTCTTTTAAAAGTGCGTTACTTGAATGCTTGTTTTTTCTAGTAATTTTAGTTAAAGGAAGTTCACGCATTGCCTCCACCGTTGCTTGGTGAGCTATCTCTAGTACTATAAATTATACTGTTTAGAGACTTGACTAATTGTGATAAAAGTCAAAATTGGCAAACAACACTATATGTGTAACTAAAAAATACATTCTTTGACAGGTTTTAAGTGACAGACGGGAGAAACCAACGGAGACCGCTCTTGTCCGAAGTCGAAGGTCAGACAATCCGAAAAAAGGTGGGAACGGAGGCAAAGGGAACAAAGGCGGTAATAAAAGTGAGCAAAATCCAGTTATCCAATCTAACTATCTCCATCCATCTACAGTGGAAAAATTATCCGATTGACCAATCCTTATTTTTATACGTACAAAAAGAAATTGTTATGATTGCTGGTAAAGTTTTACTTCATCTCGGCCATTTCCACGTTCCGAACAAAGACACTCGAGGACTGGAACAAGCTTCCAAAAGGGACAGTTGAGGCGACAACACTTGACATATTTGCTTCTATTGCCTCAGGCCTTCCAACCCCCTCGCTGTGTAGACCTTGAACCAGTGAAATATCCCCCTCTACACACATAGGAGCCAGATTGATCAATACATTTGATTGTGGGCCGATAATCTATAGAAGAAGAAGAAAATAAACTATTAATTTATCCACGATTAAATACATTTTGTTCCATAAAATGGATAACAATGTGATTTTCTTTTCTTTTTATCTTTAATCCTATATATATTGACTTCGCTTTTGTTCGTGAGCTAAAGGCAAAAAAATTTCGGACTGCTAATTGACCCACTTCCCGTCATCCCCTCGAACTGAAACTTACCACATAGACAACGTTCCTGATGACAACGCATTCTGTGAGTGAAAGTTTCAGCCCCAACTTCCACCCCCCCAACCACCCACAAAAATCAGTTTTTTTTTTCAAAGGGAATATGAAATGAAATATGATGCAATGATTTCTGTAGGGAACTGAAGCCGTTGTTAACTCGCGTAAAAAAAAAAATTCATAAATAGGATTATTAGGAAAAAACATTTGAAGGGGTTGTTTAATGTATTTACATTTTGCAAAGATCCAAGTGGGGTGCCCGTTCCCCGTCATGTGGCCTTGACCATGACTAATTGCGTTTTGGTATATCGACCAGTTGGCATGGTCAAGGCCGGGAACGTGGCCAGCTGGCTTACCGTGGCTAATTGCGTTTTGGTATATCGACCAGTTGGCATGGTCAAGGCCGGGAATGTGGCCAGCTGGCTTACCATGACTAATTGCGTTTTTGGTATATCGACCAGTTGGCATGGTCAAGGCCGGGAATGTGGCCAGCTGGCTTACCATGACTAATTGCGTTTTGGTATATCGACCAGTTGGCATGGTCAGGGCCGGGAATGTGGCCAGCTGGCTTACCATGACTAATTGCGTTTTGGTATATCGACCAGTTGGCATGGTCAGTGCCGGGAATGTGGCCAGCTGGCTTACCATGACTAATTGCGTTTCGGTATATCGAACAGTTGCCATGGCCAAGGCCGGGAATGTGGCCAGCTGGTTTACCATGACTAATTGCGTTTTGGTATATCGACCAGTTGGCATGGTCAGGGCCGGGAATGTGGCCAGCTGGCTTACCATGACTAATTGCGTTTTGGTATATCGACCAGTTGGCATGGTCAGGGCCGGGAATGTGGCCAGCTGGCTTACCATGACTAATTGCGTTTCGGTATATCGACCAGTTGGCATGGTCAAGGCCGGGAATGGTGGCCAGCTAAAAAGGGACGACAAGGGCAGACCCCTTTGTGCAGTCCACGGCAGTGTAGGACAGATGGCGGGCTACCCAAAAATAAGTTTCCAAACTTGGGTTTCCGGTATCTCATAGGTGAACAAATCATGTAAAATAAATGTCGTTCTTGAAGCTGAGAAAATATTTTTATGATTTATTTATTCAATTTTGAAAAAAAAAAAAACCCAAAAAATCTATTATTTTAATGCTCACTAAAAAAATACAGCTCTCAAAACCCGGTTATTTTCTACCTTTCCAGCGCCGCCTCCAGAACAAAAGCCCACTTTTGTAAGTAGTTTTAAAAATATGTGCTTTTGATTCTTGTTTCGTTTATTTAATAGTTAATAAAATTTGACATTTTAAGTTATTCAAAAAACAATAGATAGGCTAGGCCGCATGAACGCTCTCGAGTGCTTCTCGTCCTTAGAGCAGGAATTAACCTCAGAGCAGTGTTTCCCCAACGTCGGCTTATACTGCCAAAACAGAAAGGCATGTTGTGCGAGGTAGATAAGAAGTGGAAGAAGATGTGCTTAGGCTTGAACATAAAAGAAAAGACAGTTAAGCGGATGTTTCGGCTAGATGCCTTCTTCAGCACACGATGCAACGCAAATAAACAAAAGATACATTTAAAATTTAAAAAAAAAAATGTTCTTGGGGATCTAATTGACTCTATGTGGCTCAGTGTTCATTGTTGTGACACAAAGAATTAAGTTTAGTCCTTAAGATAGGAATTAGTCCATAAGATAGGAATTAGTCCCTAAGATATGAATTAGTCCCTAAGATAGGAATTAGTCCCTAAGATATGAATTAGTCCATAAGATAGGAATTACTCCTTAAGATAGGAATTAGTCCCTAAGATATGAATTAGTCCCTAAGATAGAAATTAGTCCCTTGGATATGAATTAGTCCATAAGATAGGAATTACTCCTTAAGATAGGAATTAGTCCCTAAGATATGAATTAATCCCTAAGATAGGAATTAGTCCCTAAGATATGAATTAGTCCCTAAGATAGGAATTAGTCCATAAGATAGGAATTACTCCTTAAGATAGGAATTAGTCCCTAAGATATGAATTAATCCCTAAGATAGGAATTAGTCCCTAAATATGAATTAGTCCCTAAGATAGGAATTAGTCGCTTAGTAGGAATTAGTCCCTAAGATAGGAATTAGTCCCTAAGATATGAATTAGTCCCTAAGATAGGAATTAGTCCATAAGATAGGAATTACTCCTTAAGATAGGAATTAGTCCCTAAGATATGAATTAATCTCTAAGATAGGAATTAATCCGTAAGATAGGAATTAGTCCCTAAGATATGAATTAGTCCCTAAGATAGGAATTGGTCCCTAGTATAGGAATTAGTCCCTAAGACAGGAATTAGTCCCATTAGAAACTTGCAGCAGAGAGAATACAAGCCGATTCTAACTTCCTTTGTATTTATATAGTCAATCATTGGACGACTTATTAGATGTATGCTATTAAAGACTGCAAGTCAACTAAACATCGATTTTAATATATTTTCTTGTGTACAGTGGTTGAAAGGTGACTCCCATGATTGTATTATATTGTTTTTAAAGTATTCTAAGATCAAGTGGCTTAAAAACTGCTGCACGCAGGCATAACCTTTTTTTTAACCCTCAGCAATTATTTTTCAGAAACCCAAAAGGTCCAAATTCGTTCATTTGATTGGCAGGAATTCAACACCAATCAACAGCGAATCTAGAGGTGAATTTTACATTAAATTTAGCTGAGTGGTCCAATTAAGTAAAGGTTGTTTTTTTAAGTACTGCAGTTTTATTTTTGGATACTAATCGATTTGTGATTGATGAATTTTATTACAGGCTATTAATCTAAAATACATACTTTTTTAAACAAGTGGTATACAATTTATACTTTGTGTCGAAGTCAACATTCTTTATGTAGAGCTTTAAACATTATAAATACATAAAAATGTATGTGAGTAGGGACGACGGTGAAAAGGTAGAGAGACTGATTGCGAGAGAGAGAGAGAGAGAGAGAGAGAGGGGGGTAAGAGAGAAAGAGAGAAAAAGAAAGAGAGAGAGACAACGAAAAAGAGAGAGAGAGAGAAAGAGGGGGGGTAAGAGAGAAAGAGAGAGAGAAAGAAATAGAGAGAGACAACGAAAGAGAGAGAGAGAGAGAGAGAGGGAGAAAGAGAAAGTGAGTGATAGAGATGAATAGAAAAAGCGTGAGAGAGAGACAGGGAGAGAGAGATTGTGGGAGAGAAAGAGAGAATGTGATCGAGAGGTTGAAAGGATTATTGAGAGGAAGGAAAGAACATGGAGTAAGGTGGATGGAGAGAGGGGGGACGATAGAGGGAGGGGAGAGATATTGAGGGAGGAGGGTAGAACTCACATCTGCATGCCGTTACTTGAAATCTTCCCACACTAATGATCCACTGCCAGGCATGTCACGACACGGTCATCCGTCTATTGCAGACAGAAGTTTTCTCTGGGACTCTCAGAGCCCAGACATCATCCAAAACATGGAGCTGGTCCGCGATCCTTACATCATGGCCACGGTTGCAGTGAGAATAAAAAAAGCTGGACCTTACATGGTGTATTCGCAGGTGGCCGTGAATGGCCAGAGCCGACTGGACGACAGGTACGTGGGTCGCTGTTTTATTTTGTTCCGATTGCTATCGATTAAGATTACCTCGTTTAAGCTGACCGGATGAGTGGACGCCTATCTCCACTCTCTTCATTGGTGGTCACGCTGCAAAAATGCTCATAAACTGCACGGCGTTTCCGGTTAACAGAACAGGTGGGGGAGCGTGCACTGACCGCACACATTATTTCCATTTTTTTTTTCAAATTACTTTGTTTTAGACTTAAGCAAAGTTTCTTCAAAAGCAAAGTAAAAGTAAATATGTATTGGCATAATAAGTCTGGAATATGCATTGGCGTCATAAGTCTGGAATATGTATTGGCATAATAAGTCTGGAATAAAACAGTGTATTCGGGAGCATTCAGTAGGGCTAGAAGCTAGTTGTCCGGTGAAAACGCTTGCTATTGGTATACGTTTCAGCTAATGTGCATTCAATGACTCACTATTTTCTGCTGCAGGTTTCCTTACGACTGCGCTCACGAGACCGTCCTCACCAGGGGAAATGGAAGGGATACGGTCCTACTCAAGAGCCTGACCACCCAACGATACCTGTAAGTTATTTTACGGAAAAATTTTTTGACACCTGTGCACCCATTGGGAATGTGAAGATATTATACATTTAACCAAAAAAACAAAAAAATCCAACTATGGCAATCAAGACAGCTTATATTAGAGCTGGTGGTGCTTAGCTTTTCATTTGGGCGAGTGACTTATTGGGCTAATTCACGGATTGGCAACCAATGCTGCCCTTTTAGCAAATGTCCAATGAAGGACATGTACTGTTGGTTTACCGCTTAGTATCTAACGCCACGCGACGAAGCCTGAAGCGTCCACACCTGACCTGCAAAGAAGAGACGAAGTCTGGACAATGTGATATGAAGAATCAGCGTTTGTGAGTAGCACATGTTAATCCGACCTCTTAGACAGCGATAGCTGATGCTTTGTGGCACCAGCACCGTCTCAAGAGTAGCCGGATTATCTCTGAGATAAATTTGAAACCGCCTCGGGGCAGTCATCTCCGCAATTATCTGTCAATATTTATTCCATTCATTTTTCTGTTGGAAGGTGTTGCCTTAAAGTAACCTGGGTTTGAAATCGGAGTTGTCCTTTCCTTTGACTACCGTACATCTGTGGCTAGTATAATCGGCATCCTTCCGTCTCGTGAGACGATGGTGCATCACCATTCGGTTGGGTTGCGGCTAGTATAATCGGCATCCTTCCGTCTCGTGAGACGATGGTGCATCACCATTCGGTTGGGTTGTGGCTAGTATAATAGGCATCCTTCCGTCTCGTGAGACGATGGTGCATCACCATTCGGTTGGGTTGTGGCTAGTATAATCGGCATCCTTCCGTCTCGTGAGACGATGGTGCATCACCATTCGGTTGGGTTGTGGCTAGTATGTAGAGTGATTTTTCAACACGGATGACGTTTTAATTTTAAAAAAATAATAAGTTCTCATTTAGTTCAGCACCAGTTTACATAGAACGGCTGATATGCACAAAATAAAATGTGTTTTGAGTGCCCACCTCTGTTTATGTGTGTGTGTGAACCTGTGTGTGTGTGTGTGTGTGTGTGTGTGTGTGTGCGTGTGCGTGCTTGCTTTAATCCTTGTTTTAACTGTCAGCGCTTTTTTAAATGTAGGAAACACAAAGCACCCCAACCCTTTTAAACATTACATCTCCCCCCCCCCCCCCAAACAGGGGAGAGCCTTTTCCCTCCGGGCATTCCACAGACGGATTGACACCCATCGACACCAAGCTTCAGATGGGCGTGTTCCACCTGCAGGTCGGTGACCAGCTGAGCGTCAAGTTCTGGGAGGGATGCGCCAACTTCAACTACGCCATGCGGCCTGACCACTCCTACTTCGGCGTCATTCCAATGAAACTTTGAAACCTTCACTTCAGCCGCTGGCATCCCCCGCATGGCACAGGACACCCCGGTGTGTGGGGGGTACGTAGGACCTCAAAGTTTGTCTAAAATACACAATAACAAGATCGGTCGTGGCGGGTGGAGCAGCCAATGTGGGGGGAAGACTTGCAGTTTTGTAACTTTCGAGCCCCGACAACGTCTGCTTCTCCAAGTCAGTCGGAGGCGGCTATCGTTTGAGTCAACACAACTTTCAGACAAGACATGAAAGGAAAAGACATTACAATATTCGAACGTAATAATACGAATCCTCTGCAAAAATGTGCTCAAAATTGTTTGTGCTTTTAAAATTATTCAAACATGAACATTAAAACAATTACTTTTTCTAAAAAGCTGAAAAAACATTAAACATTACACCAAAACAATGCCATCTATCTTAAACGTCATCGCTTTTTTTCCACATCCCATACTTTTTTTTTTAATGTTTATTCTTTATGCATTTTGTTTTCTGTTTAATAACTTTAGAGCATCACAATTTAAAAAAAAATAAAAATGGTTTGCTCTGTTGCTTATATATCGTAAGTACTTGAGAATTGCTTGCTTGGCAAATATTTCAGGTTTCTTGTAACCTACCTGCGGCTGATGCGCATGTCGTCACTCGCGGGTCGCTTTGTTTCAAATAGTTAAAAGTTTTTAATTATCTTTGTTAAATAAAATAGTAGACTAGAGATTGGCGCGTGTTAACAAATAAAGCTGGTACGTTATTGAACTTGATGAATGTTTTATTTGTTGATGTTTTTCATTATGGTAAATTATTTTTTAACAATGTGTTTCAGTGTCGTATTTTGTTCGACCGCATGCTCGTGTTTGGCCGAGTATTACTATACAATTTCTACTAGCAAACCAAAATTGATCAAGCTTATACCATTATTTTTAAATATATAAAAATTATAATTGCTGTTCTTTTTTGTTGTTTTTTTGTGTTTTTTTTTTTTTGTTGTTCTGTAAGGCAGTGACATAGAATTATCTGCTAATTTGAGGGATAAAATGCAAAAAAATATATTTTAATCTCATGACTTTTTAATTATACCAAAAATATTTTAAAAATAATTTTAAAAAATAACCTGAAATGTACGAAACACCATTTTAATATTTAAATCTATGAAAATTGTCCATTGTCAAAAGTCTTACTGGCATAGACTTAGAGACTGTAATTTGCATCGAGTTTTCTAAAACGTGTACATGTCTAAGTGTAGAGCGAAACTTGGACTGCGCCTAAACGAATGCTTTGATGAATGACACACTCACCAAAGGGACATGGTTGCACCTTTGGGTCATTGTGAGCCTAAGCCTTGAACAAGGCTGATGTGCGGTTTATTTGAATTAGTTTCTTTCTTCTAGAAAATTCCTTGCGTTTTAACGATATATTATTATTTAAGTAGACATGCGAAATTGCTAATGCTACCTTCTCTAAATCCCAACTTTTGGGACTTAGACAAATACTCGATCCCCAACTACTACAGTGATCTCGAGATCCAGATTGTTTTCCTTTCAAAAACTCCCTGGGGAGTATTTTTTTTCTTTTGGTGTGGGCAGTGATTATGGAAACAGGGGGCGGGGCGCGGAGAGGAGCAGATGTCCCCGGGCGCCAGACTATCAGGGGCACTAAAATGGGCTTTGATGGTATTTAATGGATGAAAATAATGGGTTTCAGAGTTGAAAAGGGTGAGGGAGGGGGAGAATGAAACCTATCCCCTGACGCCAAATTCTCTAGCTACGCCTCTGAAAGTGACGTATGACAGTTGTGGGTGTGGTGGTCCATCCAGATGACAATTTTCTTTAAACTGAGGTGCAGCATTTTCTGACAACTGCAGAGTTTGTATTGTGATAGAAAATGCGCGAAAATGTTGGTCCGCCCAGGCTGAACTACGCCACTAGGCAGTGAAGCGGTGAATATATTGGTACCAAAAGTGACCAGCTCTGCTATCATTTTTTATCATCAGGTATGGGAAAAACCGAGGGCGCCGATGGCTCTTGAGCGGAGGGTTGATGTCCAGTATGCCCCTGAGAAAAGTTTTTATTTTTCAAAATCAAAAGGTGCACTTTGGAGTGTGCCTGAATTCAGTGTGTCAGGGGAGGTGGATTTTGGAGTGTGCCTGAATTCGGTGTGTCAGGGGAGGTGGATTTTGGAGCGTGCCTGAATTCGGTGTGTCAGGGGAGGTGGATTTTGGAGTGTGCCTGAATTCGGTGTGTCAGGGGAGGTGGATTTTGGAGTGTGCCTGAATTCGGTGTGTCAGGGGAGGTGGATTTTGGAGTGTGCCTGAATTCGGTGTGTCAGGGGAGGTGGATTTTGGAGTGTGCCTGAATTCGGTGTGTCAGGGGAGGTGGATTTTGGAGTGTGCCTGAATTCGGTGTGTCAGGGGAGGTGGATTTTGGAGTGTGCCTGAATTCGGTGTGTCAGGGGAGGTGGATTTTGGAGTGTGCCTGAATTCGGTGTGTCAGGGGAGGTGGATTTTGGAGTGTGCCTGAATTCGGTGTGTCAGGGGAGGTGGATTTTGGAGTGTGCCTGAATTCGGTGTGTCAGGGGAGGTGGATTTTGGAGTGTGCCTGAATTCGGTGTGTCAGGGGAGGTGGATTTTGGAGTGTGCCTGAATTCGGTGTGTCAGGGGAGGTGGATTTTGGAGTGTGCCTGAATTCGGTGTGTCAGGGGAGGTGGATTTTGGAGTGTGCCTGAATTCGGTGTGTCAGGGGAGGTGGATTTTGGAGTGTGCCTGAATTCGGTGTGTCAGGGGAGGTGGATTTTGGAGTGTGCCTGAATTCGGTGTGTCAGGGGAGGTGGATTTTGGAGTGTGCCTGAATTCGGTGTGTCAGGGGAGGTGGATTTTGGAGTGTGCCTGAATTCGGTGTGTCAGGGGAGGTGGATTTTGGAGTGTGCCTGAATTCAGTGTGTCAGGGGAGGTGGATTTTGGAGCGTGCCTGAATTCAGTGTGTCAGGGGAGGTGGATTTTGGAGCGTGCCTGAATTCAGTGTGTCAGGGGAGGTGGATTTTGGAGCGTGCCTGAATTCAGTGTGTCAGGGGAGGTGGATTTTGGAGCGTGCCTGAATTCAGTGTGTCAGGGGAGGTGGATTTTGGAGCGTGCCTGAATTCGGTGTGTCAGGGGAGGTGGATTTTGGAGTGTGCCTGAATTCGGTGTGTCAGGGGAGGTGGATTTTTTAAGCGTCTGGTGGAAGCTTTATGGCTCCCAGTTCCATAAATAAACTGAATTCACTCCGGTTGTGGCACCCCTGGCGGTCATCAGATCATTTGGCTTGATACAAGCTTAGATTCAACCCCGCGTTCCCACAATGATCGGCATGAGGAAATGTGGGAGCAGAAGTTGAGGGTACCAAAGACTCGCGAGCAAACGCGGGAGAAGGTGTCCCCTTAGAAAATGTTTGATAAATTCAAAATGCAGAGATGCATTTTGGCGCATACTTAAATTCGGTGTTTCTATTCGATAATTTGGAAGGGGTAATTTTAGGCTTTCGATTGGTAAGTGCCAAAATTAGCCATAAAAAAAAAACTATCAGGGACATCTCTAACACCACCCCAGGACTATGTACTAAATTCATTCTAGTTGTGGCACCCTTGAGGGTAGGCGTTTTGCCCTCGGTTATTGTCGTCCCTTTTAGCTCATGCCTGGATTTAGTTTTGCATTAATCTACACCTTATCGGATGGCAACGGGAGAGATGCTATTTAAAAATGTAGGTTTCACTTGACCTCAGAGCCATCGTGCGGGCCCTGAAAATCCCTACATCTGCAGAGGGCCTCGGATATTTTAGGGGCTTGAAGTTGTGATGTGGATATTTTCTTGCTTATTATCTTTCAATGCAAGCTTTGTGAGGACACAACCGAAAAGTGTCTGGGTGTCTCGAAAAATTGAGGAAATGTCCTTATAATTGAAATGCTTGTTCACAAAATACATTATTGTTTTTTTTTAAGCTTTCCAATGCATTCTTACCTAAATGTATAATTTTTGTCTTTAAAATAAATGCAAAGAGATTGTTAGGATTGTTTATTATTCTGATATTAAAAAAAAAAGAGAAAAGCTGTTAGGAATTTAATAAATATAGGATAACTGTTTCAAAAAAATATATTTTATTCAGGTTTTGAAAGAAAGAAGAACATTTAAAGAAAACAAAATAGCTTACAAGTTAATAATAATTGATGAGACTTGTACTATTTATATGCGCCCGTTGAATTTTTTAATTTTGTAAAAAAAAAACAAAAAAAAAAACAACAAACAAACCAAAAAAAAACATAATTTTTTGTAAGCTTTTATTTATCTAGCTCAACATAGATGGAATCGAATACATTTAAAATTATGCTCATTACTTTTTTTAAAAGCATGATGCCATCATAAAATTTATAACAACACCAATCCCTACGATAAAAGTCATGATTTTATGATGAATTGCTATTTAAAAAAATAGTTTGCACGTGTTGGATTTTTATCAGGAACTGTATTAAAATTATTGACTTTTTATATTGGATGTGAAGGAAATGTATAACCATGATGTTACAGTCTCTCTACTTGTCTAGTTGCACAGTATAAATGAATAAATTATACCGAAGTAAAACAGCACGATATGCATAATCGAATAGTGTAAGCCTTTAACAATATTGGTGTTAAATATACGAATCATCGAATATAGCGAGCGTATCGATAGTTCATAGGTTCCTCTGATTGTAATCGGTTTCAGGCGCTAGTTACTATTACTTTTTAAGAATGATTTTAAAATGAAAATGTTAGTTGTTGTTTTTTTTATAAATATATTTTCGTTTACTCGGGGCTAAAAAAAAGGGGGGGGGGGGGTGTTCAGTTGACTGAAAGATGCATTGAATCCAGAAGATCTCTTGCAGGGGATTCAAAATTGATTCAATTGTCTCGGTGGTCGAATTTTTCTGAAGCCAGCAGCCAAATCCTGAAAAATTGTTGCCTGCAAATAAACTCTCGAGAACAATGTCGCTAACAGCTAACAGCGACCATGGTATAGAAGCGATTTAATTGCATGCGGAGTTGATGACTGTTTGGTTAGTAGGACGACTGGCCTGCACAGCAGAGTGTATTCTGTGAAATAGGGTATATCTTTAAAAAAAAAAAAAAAAAAATATATATATATACAAGATTCTACAACTAGCTATGTTGTGCATCTCTAGGCTCTCAACACCAGGCCCTTTTTCACTTTGTAGAATTCCCACTAATGACGTCAAGTTATCATTTTTTTTAAAAATACTCTTTTATGTTGTAATGTTTTTGTTAGTTTTAGATACATTATTAATTTGTTAAATGATTGGAAAAAGACGGGGTGGGGGGGGGGGTAATAAGAACCCGTAGAAAACAAATCAGACAAAGTAAATCTCTACTTAAATCGTTTTGGATGTATTAGTCGATTTAGAGCTCAAAGTCGTCACGAGAGTATGGCCCATAACCTCATTCCTTATTTTGAGGGAAAAAAGTCAAGTAAAACCCAAATGAATTGTGCAATTTTGGGAATCTGAATATTTTGTTCGATTTATAAGGATTTGGATCAAGTTTTGCTTTATAACGGCATACTTAAATCATTCTCCCATAATATCATCATTCGTGACTTCTCATACGGAAAATCAAGGCGGGGAAAAAATAGTACCTCAGTGGAAATATTGCTAGGGTCAGTGTCGCCAAGCGGAGGCGTAGCGAGGGCAGGGGAGGGCAGATGTCCCCGGGCACCAGCTAGTTAGGGGCGCCAAAATGTGCTTTGATATTATATTATTAATAGAAATAAAGGGTTTGAGAATTGAAAAAAAAGAAAAGGGGGCGCTTTAAATTGATCTTGTCCCCGGGCGCGAATCTTGTCCCCAGGTGCCAAACATCCTCGCTACGCCTCGGTCGCCAAGAGTATTCCGCCCCCCAACGCCTAGAAAAAAAAAAAAAA